ATGTTTGCAACTGAAAGCCAGCTTTTTCTGTGTAATATTGAAACCAGAGGGCCATCAAGTCTGGGGTTCCTGCTCTCTGTCACAGTTTAGCCAAAAAGCAGAGAGAGAGATTGGATTATAACTGTGCTTTTATTAATATCAGAGGCCAGCAATCTAAGAAGGTGGCAGGTAAAAACCCTGACATCCACGCTTTCTTGAGTTTTCAGAAGCAAGTTTACATAGGGGAAATGTGGGCATTTGGGAGGGAGAAATTTCTAGGGCTGTCTCTTTTGAGAGGGGGAGCTGAAAGGGGAGTTGGTGTCGCACTGGCAGCGGTCTCCTCCATCTCGTCTTTACCCGGTTTCTTGAGTGCATTGTTTCTCTCTGATGGTTTCGCGCTGCTTCTTCCCAAGCTGGCTCCCTTTGTTCCGGTGTTCTCTCCATTTGCACCAGCATCCCTTTCTTCCCTGAACGCCTGTGGTTTATGGCCAGGGAGGTTACTACTCTGAGGTTAGGGAGGGGAGGTATAAACCATGTGCTCTCAAGTGTCCTTGGTTAGGAGAGATAAGGTCTTACTGTTCACCACCTGGCTGTAAGTTGCTCAAACTGTTTGGGTCTTGTTTTAATTTTCTGGTCTCAGTTGCCCCATTCCACTTGCCCAGGAATTTTCCTAGCTTCTTACTATTCTGTCTTAATATTTTGTGGAAGTTGAAGAGGACTTTAAATACAAAAAGAACATATGTTGATTGTTATTAAGTTAAAAAGAAGCATAGGATGTATATAAAGTTCTAGGTATTTAGAGTTTATTTAGAATAATAATAATTCTTTACACTTGGCTATGTTGTTTTTGCCTGCCCACTTCTTCTACAGGTAACAGCATTTTTTCCTTTGGGGAATCCCCCCGCTCCATTGTTAGTCCTTGAGGTTTAGATGGGGCTGATTCTACCCCATAGCTCCAAAGAGAGTCTAAAGAGACCACCCTTGACCACAGGTGAGTACTTGGTCCAAGCTGGGCCGATGAGAGCCAGCCTAATTTGATGGAGTTTGTAATGCCTGTCACCAGGGTTCTGATTAATACATGCGTAGCATTTTACACTGAAAGCTCAAGGGGCTTCTAAAGGTCCCAGCAAGTCATTCACATAGCCAATTTCTCCTGATACCTACTCACATTCTAGTGGAGAACACAGGCACCAACAGGTCATTTCAGTAATATACTAACACCATTCACGCGCTGGTTGGGTGCTTGGTTGGTCAGAGTGTTGTCCCATACACCAAAAGGTAGAGGGTTCAATCCCCGGTCAGGGCACAAGCCTAGAATGAGGGGCACTTATGGGAGGTAGCCAATTGTTTTTCTCTCACATTGATGTTTCTTTCCCTCTCTCCCTCCCTTCCCCTCTCTCTAAAAATAAATAAATACAATAAATAAAAATAAAATCAATAAACACATCCTCCAGTGAGGATTTTTTTAAAAAAACACTCATTAATTAAACAAGTATTCATTGAGATGACAAATACTACTAGATGCCTAGGTCTGTGCACAGGATGGAGTTATGAATGAAACAGAAATATGTATATATGGGACCACACAGGAGGGGCATGTAGCCTACCCTGGATATATGGATATAGGTGTTGTTCAGCAAGGCTTCCTAGAGACTGGCTTCCTAATATCTGTGACTCTATTCTCCTTTAATTTTCCTTTTCATTCCCACAGCTACTGTCTTAGTTAAGCCCCTTTTAATTTCACATCTGAATTACAGCAATAGCTTTCCAACTGGACTTATTTCTACTCTTATCTTGGTTCCTCATACCTAATTCACCCTTTATTAATGACAGAATGATTTTTATTTAAAACATTTTACTGAAGTAATGTGCATGTTTAAGCATGCAGCTTGATGAACTTCCCCAAGCAAACACACCCATTAACCAGGGCCTGTGTCAATAAACAGGGCCAGCACATCCGAAGCCCACTTCCTGTCTCCTTCCATATACTCATCTCCCTTCACAACTAAGCTTTTAAAAATTCTAGTCTCTGTCTTGCTCCCTTGCTTTATTAAAACCTTTGACGGACTCTCCATAGCCTTCAGGATAAAACTCCATCTCCACAGCCAAAATAAACCCTAGTAATTCCTAACCTGTTGTCCCAGGCCTCTGCCTGGCTTTTGTGTGTGCTCCATTCCAGGAGCCACTTTCTCAAAACCTTCCTTGATCCCTTCCCTCTTCCCTGACTGTTTCTCTTACAGATTCTTGAAGTTAGAAATAGTGTTTTTCATGCCGTTTCCCAGTTGGTTAAATGAATAAATGAGAACACCTGGCATTATTACTTTCCCTTAATACCTTTCCTCCCTTATCCTCCTCCTCTGCAAGCTTTTCAAGTAAGAACAAACCATTGCCCTGTGAATAAATCAACGCCTATGACCTTTAATCAGTAGACTCACATGCTGCTTGACAATGGAGATGCGTTCCGAGTTATGTGTCCTTACACAATTTTGTCCTTCTGAGGGCATGAGAAAAGAGTGTACTTTCACAAACCTAGCTGATATAGCCTATTGTTCTAGGCTACAAGCCTGTACAGCACGTTACTGTACAAAATAACACAAGATTAAATCAGAGAGAAACAATGCACTCAAGAAACAGGGTAAAGACAAGAGGGAGGAGACCGCTGCCAGTGCAGCACCAACTGCCAGGAGGAACGTGGGCCCGCGTCCAGCTCCGTGTCAAGAGTAGAGTTGGCCATGGTCATGATTGCTGAGGTCTTTGCCTGGTAGGGGGATACAGACAGCAACAAGCAGAGCCTGAGCAAGGGGGAGCCAAAGGTGCTCTTGGAAAGGAGGCTCCTGGGCTTCTTGCGGAGTGGAAGGGACAAGGATTCCATGGACAAACTGCTCAAGGACCTGGACGTCAATGGAGATGCCACAGTGGACTTCAATGAGTTCATAGTGTTTGTGGCTGCAGTCATGTCTGCCTGTCACTTGTGACTCAATGGATGTCTTGCAGACCCAGATTCCTGAAGGTGGTACAGGGAGCAGACCCCTGGCTTCCAGAAAGCTCTTGGCAGCAATTATGTCTCTGGGCTGAGCAAGCTGATGGCCGTCTGATTAATAAAATGCTTGTGAAATTTTTTTAAAAAAAGTATTGTATGGAAAATACATACAGCAGTAACAGTGGTTTCTTATCATTACGTACTGTACATAGTTGTATTTGCTACACCTTTATATAACTGGCTGTGCAGTAGGTTTGTTTACACCAGGATCACCGCAAATGCAATGCATTGTGCTATGACCTAATGACAGCTATGATGTCACTAATGGGAATTTTTCAGGTGTTATAATCTTATGAGACCACACTATATATACAATCCATCACTGACCAAAATGTCCTTATGTGATGTGTGACTATAGTTTGTAGAGAAGTCATGACTTGTTTCCATTGATCCAGCCATAACTTCCTGTCAGATATACAGCTCACCCCCACCCCCACACACACTAAAGTAGGGACTTTGTTGTCTTGCACTCAACCAAGGTAAGTGAACACAATGGGAATTGATATTCATGAGATCTGAGCCTTTCTGCCAGTAAAAAGTTGGTTTCATTGGAATATCTGGAGGCCTTAAGGGAACACTAGGAGTATGGGGAGGAAGCAAACAAGCAGGTCAGCATTTATCAAATGCCTACCAACCATGCACTGGACACAATATTAGGCTCTATTTATGCCGTCTTGCTTAACTAAAGTGGGGGAAGAATGTGCATAAATGTAGATTTTTGAATTGCATAAAAAGAAAAGCCTGCATTCCTTTCCTTCCTTTGGTTGAAAAAGTTATTTGTGCATGTATAGTTTTTCTTTTTAATTAAAAATAACAGTAGAGAGTCACTGAATTTCATTTCAATGACAATTTACTTAACTAGCTTGAAAATGATTCCATGAAATTTAAAGAAATAGAAACATTTTTAAAGGTATTAGTGTGCAGGAGAATGGGGTACTAGGCTGATAGGAATAGCCAGAGCACCTCACATTGTCCATCCAGCTCCCAAACTGTTACTGCAGACCAGCAGGCAGTGCCACCTGAAACCATTTTTATAGAAGCATTTACAATGTGGACTTGATTTTTAATGAGAAAGCTCACAAAAAATCCAAATGGCAAACCCAAGTGTATTTTCTGTTTGCGTAACATCAAAAACATCTGACAGGTTAGCCCCATTCCCAGAAAGTCTATTCCTCCCCTAACATTCTGTAACTTATATGGCACTGGGCTGGGGTACCATGGATGCACAGCTCTGATCTACTACAAGTTTTCTCAAAAATGCCTCCCTAGGTCAGCAGCCCGTTCACAGCCTATTTAGAATTTCACTGAATAAACGTTTAATAACATAAACGAGGGCTAAAACCCAGAAATTCAAATTCAATCCATAGGGGGAAAATTCCTCAAGTGATTGTAGAGGTAGGTGTCTTGATTGTTTCCTCGTTGATAAACCTGGGGAGGCCAGTGTGATACTTATCCTTTTTATTCTAAACTTGCTTGCTATAATATTTCTTTTGGTCATCAGTTTATAATCCAGAGTGTTTTGTATAATCTTAAATGCGGAAATTGTTTCTTAAGTGCTTAGTAATATTAATGGTGATGTTCATTCATTCACCTCACTAAATAGGCAAGAAGCTCCCTGAGGACAAAGGCCTCAAGGGCCTTATATTTATCTTTGTTTAATGAGCCCTCGAGCCCCAGCACAAACACTGCTGTTGAGTTTGGACCTTCAGAAGTGTTCTGTGGGGGAGCAAAGGGAAACATGTGTTTCAGTTGCTCAGAAAACATTTTCTTCTCTGCTGGGACAGGAGGCAAAGGGAATGTTCTGATGGCAAGAGGGTTTAACTATTCACTTTAAAATTTGGTTTCACAAAATGCAAAACGACGGGTCTGCGCCCAGGGAAGCTGATGGCACAACTGGCCTGTCTCAGTGGGTCACAAGGTCTGGCTTACAAGGTCTAGGTCACCGACAACTCTCGACTCTCGGGACCACTCTCTCCTGCAGGCGTCGCTGGCCATCGCAGGGCCGTGAGGAAGGAAGTGGACTCTGATCTTCCGTTCAGCCAGGAAGCTCGGTACCGCCGGCTCACCTCCCTCGGCGATTGCGCCGGCTCTCGCGCCGCAGCGGCTTTCGGAGGGTCTCGCCTGCCCTGCGACTCGAAGGCGCGGGTCCGGACCAAAGCGATTAAGCACCGGGGCGGATCTGGGAAGGAGCTCCGGGCGGGCCCTGGCGCTAGGCTAGGGCGGTGGGCTCGCCCAGAAACGCCGGGGATCCCCTGAGGCCGGATAAGGAGTAACGGGTGATGAGCCGGAGGGGCGCAGCCGGCAGTCCAGGAGCAATGGAAGGGGAGGGGAGTGGGCGGAGGTGCAGCAGGAAACGCTCAGGGCCCGGCCGGGCCGGTCGGGCTGGGGGCGCGGTGGAGGGGAAGGACGGGGTGGCGCCCGACTGGGGTGCCGGGCTTGCTCACTTCGCCGTGGCGGAGCGCCCCGCGGGGAGTTGCGGGGAGGGGAGCAGAATCCGCGAGCCTTGGGATTCCGGGACCGCCCTCTCCGGGTCCAGGGTCGGCGACGAGCGGCAACGACGGCTAGAACCGCAGTGGCAGTATGAGAGCAGCCGCCGCTGCTCCACGCTTGCGGACGTGCGGCCAGCGGCGGCTGCTCTGTTTGCGCGCGCCATGGGGGCGCCGCGGGGCCCGGTGGCCTTCCGGCGGCGCAGCGCGCGGGGTCTGCCACGGACCGCTTCTGCGCTGGCGGCCGCTGGCCTGGTGTGCACAGCCCTGGCAACCTACGCCTGCTGGGGGCAGCTCCCGCCGCTGCCCTGGACCTCCGACGCCCCGCCGCGGCCAGTGGGCGTGCTGCTGTGGTGGGAGCCCTTCGCGGGGCGCGATAGCTCCAAAAGGCCGCCCCCCAACTGCTGGCTGCGCTTCAACATCAGCGGCTGCCGCCTACTCACCGACCGTACCGCCTACGAGGAAGCTCATGCTGTGCTTTTCCACCACCGAGACCTCGTGAAGGGACCCCTGGACTGGCCCCCGCCGTGGGGCGTCCGGGTGCGCTCGGCAGAGGAGCTGGAGCTGCGGGTGTTGGACGAGGAGGCCGCCGAAGCCCTGGCTGCCTCGGGCCCCAGGCCCCCGGGCCAGCGCTGGGTGTGGATGAACTTTGAGTCGCCCTCCCACTCCCCGGGTCTGCGAAGCCTGGCAAGTAATCTCTTCAACTGGACGCTCTCCTACCGGGCTGACTCAGACGTCTTTGTGCCTTATGGCTACCTCTATCCCAGGACCCATCCCAGCGACCAGCCACAAGGCCTGGTCCCTCCGCTGGCTCGGAAACGGGGCCTGGTGGCCTGGGTGGTGAGCAACTGGGATGAGCGCCAGGCCCGGGTCCGCTACTACCACCAGCTGAGGCAGCACGTGTCCGTGGACGTGTTCGGCAAGGGCGGGAGCCGCCGGCCGGTGCCTGACATTGGGCTTTTGCACACGGTGGCCCGCTACAAGTTTTACCTGGCCTTTGAGAACTCGCAGCATCTGGATTATATCACCGAGAAGCTCTGGCGCAACGCGTTGCTGGCAGGGACTGTACCGGTAGTGCTGGGCCCCAACCGTGCCAATTATGAGCGCTTTGTGCCCCGAGGTGCCTTCATCCATGTGGACGACTTCCCTAATGCCTCCTCCCTGGCCGCCTACCTGCTCTTCCTCGACCGAAATCCAGCTGTCTACCGCCGTTACTTCAATTGGCGCCGGAGCTACGCTGTGCACATCACCTCCTTCTGGGACGAGCCTTGGTGCCGGGCCTGCCAGGCTGTGCAGAGGGCTGGGGACCGGCCCCAGAGCATACGCAGCTTGGCTCGCTGGTTTGAGCGGTGAAGTCATCCTCCCCTGGGTGTAACCCAGGGGGGTCAAGTCATCAGCTTTTTGATCCTCTGCTGTGCATCTCTTTGAATGCTGAATCATGGGACTAAGGTTTGACCGACGGGGGGGAAAAAGGTGATTTGCCCATATAATTCAACACAGACTGGGCGGGTAGGAACCCGGTTCCTTTCTTAATGTTGTTTGGGCAAGTAGCAGTTGGGCCCCCTCTTCAGAAGTGAAGGGGGCCCTTCCTCATCTTGTAACTAACCAGTGCAGAGGTGAAGAAATTGCTTGACTACAAGAAGCCATTGGGTCAGTTGCTCTAAATTTCCTCATCTGCCACAGGCCATATTTGTGTCCTGTGTTGAGTACAATGTCATACACACTGTTCCTTGTTTCATGTTTCACTGGACCAATGAACAGCAAACCCCTGGTTTTAGAAAGAGCCTTGTTGTGGGATAGGACTGTGGCCACAAGGGGGTCTTTTTCCTTGTTGGTTGAATTCCTCAGAGCCTCAGCTCCTAAGAAAGGTGAGGGGTCATCCAAGAAACCTTTGACTGTTCCTTAACAAGTAATGTTTGTTCCCCTGTCCCATGTATGGAAACAAGATGCTGAATTGTCCTTGGAGAAGGTTAAGGTGAATATATGTGGACCTCTCTATACACAAATGTATTCCTGAAAAGCTGCTTTTCAATCACATCCCAAATCCTCTGCCCTAGGGGTAGTTTGGTATTTAATAAAACCTTATGGAGAATCCCTTTAAAATGTGAATAATCATACCCTAACTAATTTCTTCTGTGTCTGTATTTTTCTATAACTTGGATTTTTAAAATTTATATTAAAGTGACAGATGTGGAAAAAAAGCAGAAGCAACCTTCTCCCCTCTTCCCAGAAAACCAGACTGTGTTTACCAACAGAAACAGAAACCAGTGTCATTTCCCACAAAATTACTTATTTTGTGTCTTTAATGGAAATTTAAACTGGAATATCAGTCCTCCAGGGATTCTGGCATTATCTGTCTACAGAACAGGGAAAGAGATTGTACTGTATTATGGAGTCATCATGGTGTCTGTTAATAGCAGTGTTTGTTCTATTTGTCTTGTTCTTGTTAAATGTTGAGTTGCTAGGGAATGGAACTAAATTAGTGCCTGTGGTGATCTTTGTCTTTTATTAAAGGCTAAACTTCCAATTCTCCCTGGGGCCAGCAGGTTTCCCTCCTAGTCTGCATAGTAGGACCTGTATCCTCACATTTATAATGCCCTTGAGACTATGCATGGGACCAAGTTCGAAAATATATGCATTGACTTTAAAAGTTTTTTGAGCAGCATATTCAGTAGATGTTACCATATCCCTACACTGTGCCAAACAGCTGGACTTGGGGTGCCACAGAAAAGACAAAATTATGTAAGGAAAGGTTCCTCTCCTTAAGGCTCTTTTAAAATCGACCACTGCCAAGAAGTAATGAGTGAACTTTGATAAATCAACTAGCAGAACCTGTTTGTATAAAGTGACATTCTTAGTGATATAGATCATAAATGAATGATTAGAAAGCCAGTTGATCTACAGCCTGAAATGATAGCTTATATTTCTCTTTGATTTATTATAATAAAGACCCTCCATGACTAAGTATCGTGCGTAGGGTCCAAGATTAATTAGGTTTACACAGGGTTCTGCTGTAAATAGTAATTTTGCATTAGACTACTACAATTAGCTGAGTCATAGTTTTATTTCTGCATTTGTCGTAGACTCACCAAAAGCTCATTACAATCCAAAAAGTGCTTCAATTCTCTTTATCCTTAAAAAAGGAAGAATTTAAATCTGTGGATAAAATGTCCTTATTAAAATAATATAGCATGGGCAGAATTACAAATATAAAGTATCAGCCATTCAATAAAGAAAAAGGTAAAATCCTATTCTTAAAATGAATATTCATGAGATGTTGGCCAATGATCTTGGTGTTACTGGTAGTCTACATGGGGCAGTGGGAGAGAATTTGGGTTTTGAAGATAATCTGGCTTAGATTTGAATTCCAGCAGCGTGACTTTCGGCAAATTGGTTAATAACCCTGAGCTTCAGCTCCCTTATCTGTGAAGTGGGGAGGAAAATACTTCAGAGCTCATTGTGACCATTTCAGGAAATAAAATAGGTAAAGATAGTCACTCAATCAGGGAGGAAGAGATTTATTTTTTTTCCCTTCTTTCTCTGTAGTGATTTCAGGATGCCTCCATATCCATTTACATGTTAAAATTAAATCTCAAGGTATGTTACAAAATATATCTGAAATAAGAAGGGCCTTCTACCATGTATCTCAAATGAATCCCTAAACTAAGTGTATTATTTCAAAAATCACCATTGCCATTTGATTGAGCTTCAACTTATAGACTATAGAAGCACCTATGCTTTATTCGAAAAAAAAATTTTTGTTTTTGTTTTGGTTAAGTTACATATTTAAATAAGTAACTATTATTTCACTAATGCTCTCCTTAGTATTGTCTGTTTAAAACTAACCACATATTTATTGAATATTTAGCACAAGAAAGGTAAATTGCATTTTTATTTGAAAATTTTGGGTATGAAACAGTACTTTTTAAGGCTAATCTCATCAAAGAGCAAGAGAAATGTGGCAGTTGTTCAATTTATGGTATTTTATTTTTCATAATCTAAGTTGAGTAGTTAAATTTTCACAAGCATTGATACAAAATGTATATAAATGGATCATATAGATTTCAAAATATCTTTCCTGGGATTGTCAGGTCCTTCCTTTAACACATAAGCTTTTCTTTACAGCTTATTACCAATTTAATATTTTTAGCACTTGATGAATCTAATTACATGAGTACCCCTGGAATGATATTTGCATCAGGAAGACAGTCTGACTTGCTTTCAGTATTCACAGGGCCTTCCCGTTTCCAAGCCTTCCCTGGCAGTAATTTAGAGGAGACAACGTGGCTTCCTGGAAAGAGCTTGCAATTTGGAGTCAGAACCTGGGTACGGGGTTCTGCCACTCTCTTCCCTTGTGGCCTTGTTAGACAGGACCTAATTAAACTCTCAGTTTTAGCCTCCTCCTTTATAATGCACAAATGCCCCTGCAAAACAAGGATTAAATGTGATCATGCACACCAGGGTACTTCGTACATTGTAAAGTGCTACACAGTTATAGAATGCTCTACATTTTCAAGGCTCGGTGGGGGCGGGGGGTAGGGGGGGATTGTTAAAGGCACAGAAAGTAAATATTTCAGGTTTTGCAGGCCACACAGTCTCTGCTGCCACTACTCACCTCAGCTGCTGTAGTGTAAAACCAGCCATTGACAATACATAAACACACATGGTGCCTGGATTTGGCCCAAGTCGTAGGTTGTCAACTCTGTTCTAGACTTTTAGAGATATAAGGAATTTGAGAACCTATATGATGGGGGTTTCTTAGAAGGGATTCAAGAATTGTAATTTAAAAACTTTAGAGGCAGATATTCCTGGGTTCCTAGACCAGCTCTGCAAGATTTCCTAATGGTCTTATATTGGGCAAATTATTTACGCTTTCCGTGTTTTGATACTCATCTCAAACTGAAGGTAATCATATATGATTTATGGAGGTGTTGGAAGAGTTAGATAAGACACTTAAAGTACTCTGTACAGTGTCTGGCATGTAGGAAGCACCTGGAAGATGTTAGCTGTGATATCACCAGTCCATCTTACAAAGAAGGAGCTGAGGTCCAGACCCGGTGGAGGACTCACCTAAGGTTACAGCAGTAGTGGCAGAACCAGCCATGCCTGTGCAAGTCACAATTGCTTTGAGCCTCTGCCACTCGAACTGCAAAATGAGGGGTTCTACAGGATCTTGGGACCTACGCTTCCACTTGCTATCATTCTACTAACTGGTACCCTCGGGCTTTGAGAACTAACTCACCTCCCAATGTGCCTTCCTTACAGTCTGTAAATGCACAGCAGCAGCCAACTGGCAGAAAACCAGGCACCAGAGAGGGCGATTCTGATTTAGTGTCACATGCTTTAGATATCAGGGGAGGGAGCCAAGTCCTTGGTAATTAGTATGGTGAATAAATGCATTGAATACATTTCAAGTCATTCTTGATTATGTCTCAGGGACTTTTATATGACACAGTCTTATAACAAATCGATAATTTATCCATACATGTTTGGGTTATTTTGACAAAATAAAGTAATGAGATGGAAAATGACTCCTTGTTTATAATGTGTGTTCTGAGGCACTAATGTGTTGGACCGTGGCACACGGGATTTTCTTGGTCAAAGGGTTTTGGTACATTCACTGGTTTTGGGTTGGTAACTCAAATATAATGGCTTTGTCTCCCTTGATTTGTACAAGGTCCAGTTCAGCTCCGTCCTCTTGTCTTTCTTGCTGGTGACTCATCATCTCCAAGGGCATGAATTGTATACTCCTGTCTCTAGTTCCAATTTATTTACTAAGTACTCTGACGCCCTCTCCATACTGCCTCTAGCTCCTTTCCACTAACTGAAGAAATGCCATTTTTTAAAGAGGTGGAATAAAGTCGGGGAACGTGATTGTTGACAGAGGCATCTTTCTTAACAGCTGGTGCTCAAATTATTGAAAGGGGAAGATATGAAACTGGAAAAAAATGCTGAATATTTTCTCTGCTTTCCCTCCAACACACACATACCGATATGCTCATTTCACTATCGGTTTTGAAAAATGATGATGGCCAGACGAGGCTGGAAAGGAGCAATAAAGGGGATTCAGTGGTGAATGAGTAAACACAAAAGCAGACTATAGAACAGATGGCGAATATAGATGGGGAGTGAACAGAAAAATTGAAAAAGGGAAGACATTGGTGTAAGCAAGTAAGAAGTATTTGAAGAGAAAATGAGGTTAGGAAAAAAAAACAGGAGATACGGGTTCAATGACAACGAAGGAGGTGGGATAAAGGAGGACCATATGCACTGAGAAGGAGGCAGCAGGGTAAAAGCTACCATTCAATGCCACTTTTCTAAAAAGAAACCTTTGTTCCAGGTTGAAATGCAGCATCTGTTGGTAAACGGAGAATGAAATCAAGAAGTCTGAACTCACTGACAGGGAAAGGAACTTACCGAGGAATAAACTAACATTTCAGCAGAAATATAAAACTCTCT